GACACACCTCATGCCAGTCCTTCCAAGCAATCAAGTAATAAAAGTAGCGCTAATAAAGTTAAAATCGCTTCACTCATTAGACGGCATACATTTACCATTAATAACGATCCAAATGGTTAGCTCTCTCTCTCTCTCTCTCTCACTCTCACTATCCTTCTCCCTGTCCCCAATTCTACATATCATCTATTTAAAATTTCTATTTATTTACTTATTAACTGCTAATATAATTAGTTTGATTTAAATTAAAATTTTTAATGTTAACTATTTGCAAATTATATGAAACTAATGCTTATCCTAATATTGTTTAATAACATTGAGTTTAAATGCTTTAATTTAGACCCAAATTCGCGAATCGCTCGTCAATTGTCAGTGGAATCTGTGTCGAGTGTGTCGAGCGGTGCGGACGGCCCTACATCTCAATCAAAGCTAAAGAAGAAACCAAAAACAGCCAAAATATTGAATAATACGGGTTCGGGTTCGTGGCTCAGGAGCTCTTTCTCCAAAGCGTTTAAAAAGAATAAGTCATTTGTGAAACGAGACGCTCTCTCAGACGTCGAGGGAATGGGCAACGGATCTGAAGGCGAATCCAATTCTGTTCCTTCCTCTCCACTCATGTCTTTACGTCCCTTCCATTCAGAACTTAACTCTGATAACAATGATCTCAACGATTCAGACGACGTTCAGGTCCTGAAGAGACAACTCAGAGAGAAAGAGATGGTTATTACAGATCTGAGACTCGAAGGGTTGACTTCTGCTCATCAATTGGAGAATCTGAAGGAAAAAGTGAATCATTTGAGGGCAGAAATGTTGAATCTTAAACAAGACAACGAACGGCTCAATCGCTTAATCACCTCTAAATCATTAGCTTCTTCTCAAAGTTCAATGGCTTCTTGTTGTGTCCAAAATTCTCACTCAACCAACGGATCCACAAAATGCCGACAAAAGGGAAGTATAGGTGAAAACAATGGAAATAGTTTAGAGAGTCTTGAGATGGAAGGGAACTCTAATTCCCTTCTCTCTGAGGGAGGAAAACTAGTATCAATCGGTTCCGGCACTCATGTCATTGCATCACTTGTTGTGACGCCCAAAACAAATTGGGATCAATTGGATCTAATGATCAAAAAGTTATTTAAAGAGCATATCAGTCGAATTGATTCCGAATGTGGATTAGGTTTAACATTGGATGCATTGGCCTGTTATCAGGTCGGGGCTGAGAAAATACAGCGAATTATTGTGGTTAACAAACCCTCACCAACACTGCCATCGCTGACATCAAACCCAGAACTTCTTCCGTTTGGATATCTGGTGAATGAAAGTCATATTTGTCTTCAGTTTAAGACTGCATCCGATTCTTTAGTGTTTGACACTTTGACACCGAAACCAATTATTCAGAGATTTGTAGGCCTTTTGAACGAAGACAGGCGTATCATTCTTTGCGGTCCCAGCGGTACAGGAAAGACATATTTAGCCCACAAATTGGCTGAATATCTGGCGGTTCGACGAGCGGCCGAGAATAGGAGTGCCGACACGTCTACTGAAGGCACTCCCGTCGGATCGATCGCCACATTCAGTGTCGATCACAAATCGGCCAAAGAGTTGAGAGCTTATCTGTCAAACGTTGCCGAACAGTGCGAATCCGAAGCCTTATCATTGCATTTGCCAACAGTTATCATATTAGATAACTTGCATCACGTCTCAGATATATCTGAAGTTTTTAATGGATTACTTAATATTACTCACACTAAATGGTTAGTCTTTAAAAGCATTGTTTACTAACAATTAACTTACTTTTAATTTATTTGAACACTCAGTCCATTCATTATTGGGACTATGAATCAGACGACTTGTTCGACAACTAGTTTGCAGAGAAACTATAATTTCCGATGGGTTTTGTGCGCTAATCATACGGAACCAGTCAAAGGGTTTTTGTCGCGATTTCTTAGACGTAAATACATTGAAACAGAAGTGAAAATGGTATCAAATAATATGACAGTCAGTCCTGAACTGAACAATGTTATTGAATGGATCCCTAAATTATGGAATCATTTAAATCAATTTCTTGAGACACATTCATCATCTGATGTGACCATAGGTTTGCAAACAAGTTATCTTTAATTGTGTTTTTAATTAGTGTTTTGTATTACCGGTATTTATGATCAATAATTAGGTCCTCGACTGTTCTCTTCGTGTCCGATGGATGTGAATGGATCTGAGGTTTGGTTCACTGATTTGTGGAATTATTCAATAGTGCCATATGTTGTGGAGACCACTCGTGAGGGCATTCAGATGTACGGAAAGCGAACCCCATTTACAGACCCAACCGATTGGGTCATTGAGACATATCCATGGAGTGCGAGCACCTGTTGGCCCGATTGGGCACACAATCTGTTGCGCATTCGAGCCGAAGATGTGAATTACGAGACCGACAAACCACCCGATTGTCACCAAAATGAGGATTCGGACCCCAATTGTAGTGATCCACTCGTGAGTTAATAATTAAATGATTACATTTAATATTTTGTAAATTGAATTTATATTTGTATTGCAGCTAAATATGTTGCTCAGACTTCAAGAGGCGGCTAATTATTCAAATTCTAGTCAACAAAATGAGTCTTTTAATCAAAATAATGATTATAATAATGATAATAATTGACACGATTTTCTAATGGCAATCTCAACTATAGTCAGCTTTATAATTGAATTTCATTTTATTTATACATTTATCAAACATTTTTGTAATATTTTATTAGTGTTTTGCTATTTTAATTGAATTATGTGTTTAAAATTTCTAAGTCATTGACTTTTTTAATATATCGTATTTAAGAAAACAAAGAAAATTAATATAATTAATATATTCTATTATTTATACAACAATTTTATATAATTTATATGTAAATATTTATAACAATATTTATTTAATAATTGATGTTTTATGGACAAGATTTTTAAAAATAAATAAAATTGATTTTATTTAAACAAGTTGTTTTAATTTTGGCATATAATGAAAGACTAACAAAAAGTTGTTATTTATTGTGTTCAATATAATTGTTATGTTGATTATTGGTTAGAGGGAGTGTAGGGTTGAAATTAGAAATGTTAATTTGATTAAATCAAATTAAGTCAAAATGAAAAGCCAATGCTGGGGACCCAAACAACTGCCCCTACATTTCGGTTTACATGTATTTTCGGCATTCGGGTCCGGTTTTATTATTTACAATTAATTCAAATTAACATATTTCATTTATTATTATGTGATAATATAATTTAAAAATTTTTGGAACTAATCCAGATGATTTACAGCAGTGGCCACTAATTTAGTTCTTGCCGAATATGCGGCGGCGATGGCTAATTATGGTCAAAATTACCATTATTTTTCTCGGAAAGTTTATTTACATACAGTGTTTATAATGGTCATCGTCTACCCTTTTTGTAAATAAATAATTTAAATAATTATAATTAAAGTTATTAACCACAATTTAGCTATGAATAATGTGGTTTATAGGATCGTTCGGCCCCCAAAATTTAAAACAATGTAAAAAATATAATTAATTAAACATTTTGTCTCATAATTCACATCATTTTTTCATTCAATATGTTGTGACCAATAAAAAGACTGTTTTAATGAATGATTTTTAGTGGAAATATTTTGTAATATTACAGAATATTCCGTATATTGAAAGAAAACAAAATGTTTAATCTAAATGTGTTGACTCTAACCATACAGTGCTGATGACTACTGATTGAAATCGTTTTAACGATATAATGAGTGGTAATCCGACCAAAACTCAGTCGACGAGTAGTCAAATCAAAGCATTGAGTGATTGAACTCAAGATAAGCTTAAGAATAGGCTAACAAATAAGAAATAAGTCTAGAATGACCACATGTCACTTTATTAATTGTACTTGGAAACAAAATATTTTTCTTTGCATTGAGTGAAGACAATACATGTATGTAAATTATAAATATTACATTCAGTAGTATTGTATTTAAAATTATATATTTTTATATTTTAATTCAAAATTAATATTAAATGTGTTTAATAATGTAATTTGTTTAGTACTGTCCACTCGTATACGTTTGGCTGCACTAAAAGAGTCAGGTATTGGTGGCACTGGGAGGCGGAGAAATGTGTTTTGCAGGTCCAGTGGTATTGCATTTGAACATACAATTCACTCAAACACTACTTTGCACTCAATAATCAAGAATTGGACACAAATTTGTCAGAAGTAAAGGAATAATACTTTTATAAATGACACGTTTCTTGCATTTCTCTTATGTTTTAATAAAATAACTAAAATAAATAATGATTTTGAATTTATTATACGGATGTCAATAAATTTTTAAATAATACTATAATAATCGGAATTAAATATTTATTTATTTATAAAATGATTTTATTAAATAATAATATTTGGAAAATAAACTATTATTTATTGCAAATATATTTAATTGTTTTCGTTAATATCGATTCGGGTCAATGTTTTAACTTTACTGACGATAATATCAATGAATTAATAAAAACAAAACGCGATGAGAAGCCGACCATAACTTTTGGTTTTTTAGGTTCTTTCAAACATGGATTGACTTTAGGAAAGCTAATCGCAGGCGCTATACCTCTGGCCGTCGATAAAATTAATAGGTATTAAAAGTTAAACATTATTTTAAAACGTATAATTATTTTTTAAAAATATGTTTATTGCTGTGATTAAAGTGATCCAAATATACTGCCAAATCATACGCTAAAATTTAAAGGTAACTGTCGTTTACTTTTTTTATTTAATAAAACTTTATTTTTAGACTTCAAAAACACTAACAGTTTTGATAGAATTGAATAACAACTTTCACACATTTTAAACACTTATAAATAGTATCAGTCATTATGTGTTAAAAATATATTTGTCAACATTTGTTATAAAAGCCGGTGATTCGGGAATACCTAATGGATGGACAGCTATTAGAAAGATGAGTGAAATGAGGGAACAGAATAATGTGTCGGCATATATAGGACCCGATCACAGCTGTGCTACCGAAGCACTTGTTGCCGCTGCTTGGAATATGCCCTTGATCACTTATGTATGTATTAAAAGCTATATATTGTTTAAGAATAATTATATATTTTATTATGCTTAAAAGCCTATAAATTTATTTTAAACAACTATTTTTCTGTAATACATATTAGCAGTACTTGTTTTTAAATAATTTTGAGATTCAGAAAGTGATGAAACAATTTTCAGAAACTGTGTCCCAATTATGTATTTGATAATTGTTTTTCTGATTGATTATATATTTATAAGTATTGAATGTTAGCAATAAATATAAGGTTTCAAACATACAAATAGAAGCACTAGAGTATTGAATACACAAAACAATCAGATATTTGCTTTTGTATGCTTTTTATGCCAAAATTGGACTATTTTTAATCAATTGCTTTTACAAATCAACTTTCTCGAAATTGTTTGGCTTTTATCACAAGATTTTCATTATAAGTAATAAAAATAACAAAAAGTTGTGTTATTTAACAGAAATAGTATGAATTCCTATAGTATGACAATTTTATACAACTTTGTTTTCTTAAAATTTCACATTAAATTGTCATATCGTTTTGACCCAAATATTGACATTTAAAACATTGATAGTTTATTAATTGATTTATTAATTAATCTAATATTTATATAATTAAAAGAAATGCACGGATAGTAAAGTTTCAAACAAAACTCTATACCCGACGTTCGCCCGAACTCTACCCCCGAGTTCTAAAGTCTCCAAATCTGTTATATCACTGTTGAGACACTTTTCGTGGAATAAGGTTTGTATTGAATATATTTGTAGATATATTATGACAACTAATTGTCATTCAATAGATTGCTTTAGTCGTGTCGGACAACCCGTCCGACAAACAGGTGGAGGAAGCGCTCACCTCTCTGTGCGAAGAGCACGGAATTTTTATTACCAACACTTTCTATTTGCCCGGAGATTACTTATCCATTCATAACAAAACCATTGAGGATATTATTCAAAATAGCTATAAAAGGACCCGAGGTATTATTTATTGCTTATTAAACAATTTTTACAATATATAATAAAGATTTCCACCATATTTATTTATTTGTTTTATTAAATTACAGTTAGACAATTTTATTAATATCTAACAATCATATAATTATTGACTCGTCATTTACCGCTCAATTTTATATGCATTTGGATTTTGAGTCCCAATTTGATGAATTACAGTATAATCACATTAACTATAAAATATTTTAGTTTTTATAAAAGCTTAATCACTATTTTAGAGATCATTTACTTTTGACATTATTTTATTTATATTTTTAATGTTATCCAATTTTTAGTTAATTTATAAAGATTACTTCTAAAAATATTATAAAATAACAATTATCAGGATGTATTAATTAATTATTATTTTAATGTATTATTTACATTAAAATGAATTTAATATACTTTAATATTAATACAATATTATATTATTGAAACATTATTACTATTGAAACATTTACCATGTTTAATAGTGATAAGAATAATCCATGTATTTATAACAAATAAAGCAAATTCGTGCCTATATTTGCCATATATTACAGCCATTCCTTCGGGCGATACTATTATATTATATAAGAAAGTATTAAATTGTGACCAAAATATTATTGATTCAAATCACTTAAGTCTTGACTTCTATTTTATTACAAAACTAATAAGGGTTTCGTTTGAATCGTTTTTATGGAAAGGTTTAGATTGCAATTGACGTTCATTTTAGTGCACATTTCAAGGCTTTATTAACATTAATATAGGCATTAATAACATCTTCAATTTGATCTCAAAACCAATTGCATGAAAGCAGTGAATCAATAGCTATACTTTTGACATCAATTGTCTGACTTTGATCTTATTATAATTTAGTAATTATAAAATTATACTAATTTATAAATAAGTTAAAATAGTCAGATCAATCTATGTGATCAATTTATAAACTACAATATTATGTCAATATATGACAAAATGAATAAAATTAAAAATAATTTTGAAAACTACTGCAAACTAATGATACAATTTATTTAGTATATGTGTTATTGTCGGACACGTATGCTTTAGTAGACTTCGCGCGGATAATGCAAGAAAGGCTACTCATAGACACTGGAAATTATGTGATCATATCTGTTGAAGAGGAAGAAGTTTACGATCCAAATAAGAAGAAACAATACACGAGCAGAGAATTTGAGACACATTTGGAATCATGGAATCCGTTGCCATTTCGGGCCGTTTATATGATTACCCCAACGGCGCCAACAAATCCTAATTATAACAAATTTAAACTCGAAGTGAATGAAAGGAGTCATATGTCTCCCTTCAATATACCCTCCCATCCCTTCATCACAATCCAAGTGCCCATTTATGCGGGTCTGGCTTACGATGCGGTCATGATTTACGCCAATGCCTTAACTCTAGTTCTCTCTACGGGTGGCTCTATAATGAACGGATCGGCAATCCTTGAGGCCATCAAAAGGAAATCATATAAAAGTAAAAATTATAATCCAACGATGCGGTCATGATTTACGCCAATGCCTTAACTCTAGTTCTCTCTACGGGTGGCTCTATAATGAACGGATCGGCAATCCTTGAGGCCATCAAAAGGAAATCATATAAAAGTAAAAATTATAATCCATTTATTATGTAATTTATTAGTTAATACACTGTAATGTTCTTAACACCACTAGTATTTATTTCTAATCCAAACCAAATAAAAACATAAATGAAACTATTTTTCAGGTATTTTAGGCTTTGAAGTCATGATCGATGAAAAAGGTTTTGTAAAACTTAATTTGATTATAAA